GGATCCCCTTTGACCTCATGTTCCATTCATTCAGTATCTCTGAATCCCCTTTGACCTCATGATGCATATATTCTTCATGTCATTCTTCTATTGAAATGTCTCAGCCAGTGATTGACATTCTTTTCATCTTCCGGCTTAGAAACGAGATTGCAGAACACTTGGTCAACCTTGTGATCAATACGATCCCACCACATGTGTATGTGAAGGATACAACTTGGTCTGCGAAGATATCAGCGGTTCTGCCAATTTTTATTGCGTTCTATCAGGAAACACAAAACCTCAGTAACAACCTGACCCAGCCGAAGACGACAAATAACTGATTTCAGCTTCTCAAATAACTTGAAATAAATTGATGAATTACTGGATATAAAATAAGTTCTAAAATTTAAATAAGCCCTCTATGGGTTTTCTAGGGAAACCTAAACACTACTGATTGCTTAAAACTTAATGCGCGAGTATGTCGTGACCGTAAAAGACCTTGTCTGAGATAGCGAACACGGTGTATTATGGTCTAGTCTTCGGTACGAACATCTTTTGTTCATCATGCCTTATATGGTGTTGTTTGTACCCAAGCTAGACCATAATGCATCCTGTTTATCGAACTAAGAAAAAGCCTATGGGGATGATCCTAGATCAGTAGTTTGGTACCATGGTTGGGCCTTGAATAGCTATAGGCTTTCACAGTCACAGTTTGGCTTGCTTTAAGGTTAAGCAAACAATATATAAGCTTTACTCACAACATTTCATCATTTTATTTCAAGTTATCTATGCATTTGGCATTGCAGTGAATGAAAAGACAATTTATTCTGGGATACGTACTCGAATAAAATTCAAAAAACTATTATTATTACCTTGGTGACAGTGTTCCTTTTCCTCAGAAACTCTGATATAACCCCGACAAAAATGCTTTGTTTTAATATATTCTTTACGTGACTTAGCAAAGGCTTGGTTGAGGATTATCTTATTTATTTATTTAGTAATTGATTCCTGAAATAATATGTATATCGTGGAAATAATAAAGACTGGAAGGTTACGAAAGGTGTCGTGCTTTACTTAACACAAAAAAAAAAGCTTCGAAAATACTGCTCTATAACCATGATGAAATATTCCGGAAAACGAAGAGAAATAGTTACAGGTCTTGCAACGCGACGCGCAAAAGTATGACCACGTTAAAAAGACTTCTGTGCACGGGCTATTTCCTGCCAAACGAGCTTTTACACGCCTTATTATTATTTGAAGGGGGCATGAATATTATCATGTCGCAACAACAATCCTCCAATCCCCAAAGGAACACGTAATAACCGATTCCTTTTAAAAAACATTAAAAAACTCAGGGAAAAATTAACATTATTCATAGCAGCGGAGAGAACTGTGCGCGTTAGAAAAAAACATGGCCCATCAAGGAGTTTCCTGACAACCATGGACAACATAACATGCGGTAAGCCACTGCAAAGCATCTAGGACTTGTAAAGTGAAAGTGAAATAGGTCAAGAGATCATTTATTGGGATCAATATCCAGATCGAGACTAAATTTTAACAAAATTAAGTTCCTTTACTCTTATACGTTTTTATTACGTTTTCCTCTTTTACTCCGACGAAGGACTAGCGTCCGAAACGTCAGTAAGTTTTTTCATCTTTTCACGGTGTATAATTTATCTTTTCATCATTACTGTCTCATTAGAAACACCGACGCAGCTCACACTAGTTTTTAGCTAGTTATATCTTTTTATTACGTTTTTACTGGCAATACTTTGTTTTGATAGAGTGAAGTCATTAAACCCGTGAAATAGATGTTAGACTAATTCACTTCAGTAGCCCCTAATTCCATTGTTTTCTTTTGTGTCTTTTTGACTATTACACGTTGACTAGTATTTTTTATTTCACGGGTTAAATGCCTTCGCTCTAAACCATCATAGTTGATAAACCGAATAGAAATATGTCGACCTATTTGAATAACTATTGTTCTACGACTAGCGACTCGTTTTGTTTGTACGATGACAGTTCAACCGCTTTTTTTATGTTACGTTCAGCCGGTCTCAAATAGATTTGATGACAAAGTCTTACATGGAGCACAGCACGGACAATCATTTTAAGAGACAAGTAGGTTATGATAGTTAATAATTCATTAAAACAACAGGTAGCTTGGTGGTCAAGAAAATCTGTCCACTATAAGTGTAAAACAATCTTTTTTTCTTGTCTTTTATTAAAGCGAAATATCTTTGGATAAAAGGTAGGGAAAGCACAGTTTTTAGAGCCCTGGATCAAGTGTTTATTATTCGATTTCCACCTAAAAGTCCTTCACTGCTATCAGGAGTTTGGTCTGGGTTTTCTGGGTTCGATGTTTTGGTTCGAAGGACAGGTGAGATCACAGAAAACAACACTAACTTAATTCATTGACCGACCTTGTTATTTGTTTATCATCCCTGATTGTTTTGGCTACATGTATTCATCATCGCTCAGTGGATACATATATTCAATCTTGATCACTTCATCAGCTAACGTATTTTCAAATACACTACTCATACAAAATAATAATGGGAGCAATTTTACAAGTCATAGAGCAATTATGACAGATTTTGCAGGTTGATCAATCTCATATAAAGTCATATCAATTGCAATATAAGTGATATTTGGAGTTGAATATATTTTAGAAACTTTGGATAATTGTTTGGATAATTGTTGAGAATGTGGGGATATCTTCAGTAAGTTATAGCTTGTTAACCGAAAGTGGTTAAATATTATTCATAAAAAAATGATCAGGGGCGTTAATTCTATTTTATCTAGTCATTTTGTGATGTAAACGCAGTGAAGGTGACGGATCAGTATCGACGAGAGTGACCATACGGTTAGCTTGATTAAAAATCGTATCTTTTTTTCCTGGAACGAAACAATCGTTTTACATGAGAAAGAATTCAAATCTGCAGAGTATTTAAAAAGATCATATTTTTGTCATCCAACATGGCTGCCGGAATGTGATCAGCCAAAACCTCGATTATGTTGAATAGGAATAAGATGGAAACTCCCCCATTTCTACTTTTAAACGCCATTGATTGAAGAAGTGATGACAACTTAAAACTCAAAATGTTACTAAATTTAGACTTTACAAGAAGTTGATAAGCTGAAAGATTTCCGGATTTACCCTCACCAGCGGTCCATGATGTGTACGCACGCGTGCATGACTCATTTTTTCTAAAACCTCCTTTGATAGGAGAATGATGGCTTCATGATACTAGAGTTGTAGGAAAATGGAAGTTCGATTACTAGCGTGCTTGCTGTTGGTCTGCTTACCAAACTATAATGCGAGCTGGTTGAGCTTCGAGCAAGGTAAGATGGTTAACAAATTAATAATAATAAATTAATAATTACTATTGTATGTATGCCATGGTGATGAAATAATGTGACCCACAAAGTTGTCCAAACAAGCTCTGAAATAAATACAGTTCAGAAAATGATTATTATTGTCACGTATTATTGTTCTAAAAGCCAATGTAGCTTTTGATTTCCCTCGCTCAGTCTTTTTGCCTTTTTTATGAATTATTGAAATAATTCAACTTAAAATAGAAAGCTTCTACGGTGTTTACATTTTTATCCAGTTTTTTCAAATTTGCAGAGAAAATTGACGGAGAAAACCAGTATTTTTTCAATCCTCAATCAAACAGTGAAGAACTGGGCAACTACGTTTCCAATGGCAACGTGGACGATGGTACAAGGGAAGATATATCTTTAGACAAAAGGTCCGTTAATAAACCGGGCAATGTTTTTGATGCCCTAGAAGAAAACCTTGGCTTACCTGATAAAGACCAACGAAACATAATCAAGGAAGTCGGCCAAGCAAGCAAGGATGTGCCTGATTCTGTCAGATACATCAGTGACTTGATGATGGAAGAGATAGGTCAAATCGAAAAGGATTTTGCCTTGCAATTTAGCAAGATGTTGCCATTGCATGAAATACTTCCTGACAGTCAAGCTCCAATGCTTGAAAACTACGATACGGAGAATTCAAACGAAATCAAAGAAGATGAAAATTATGGATCAGGCGAGGTTAATGAACAAGAGGAAAAAGTTGACGATCTAAGCTATGAATCTTCGACAACCGACAGTGAAAAAGACTTTGCAGAAAGTCCAAGTTTTCAACAAAGTAAAGAAGAAGTAGAGTTTAAAAATGAGTATGTGAAAAATGCACGTACTAGAAGTGGAATAAAGGAAAAAGCGACTAATCATGTTACTAAATCGACAATAAAAATAAAAAATCAAAGCCCTAGCCATGGAATTGGTAATGATGATGATTTAGACTCTCCTGTTGTCTTTCCTAAAAAGCAACACTACAATAAGCCTGTTCAATCAGAAAAGACGTCGGCTTCGTCCGGCGAATTGGAAGAACTGGGGAATTTAGTTGTTGACACAAAACTAGGAAAAGATAGTGGACAAAACAGAGAAAGCAGAACCTTTGACGAATTCACCATCAAAAAAGATAATGTTTCCAACTTATTTGCTCACTCTGAGAAGGAAATGAAAAATAGTGCAAAATTGGATGTCAATAAATCTTCTCCAAACGGAACTTACAGCACACTTTATTCCACGCTTCAAAATGACAACAAATTTATACAAGAAAGGAGTAAGACTGAGAAATACCAAGATAGCTTAGATAAACCCAACGAGAGATCCAAAAGATCCAAGCATACTGAAGATAACAAAAAGCATCATGAGAAAAGCTCATCTGTTGATGATGATGATGATGACATTCGATTAAAGAAATCAGGCATCTTCGAGAATATTGCTAATGCATTTGCTCACATTGATAAAACTAAAAAGGAAAACGAGAGAGTGGAAAAAAGAAAAAAATCCACGTTGGAGGAAATTCATGAAACCAATCCCATTCAACCAGGTAAGAATTTCAGGGAGCAACTGAAAACTGTCGTTCTTGAGAAAAAGACTGGGTCGAATTGCCATTACAGGGCATTGTGCGACTGTTTTAGGGGACTTCTATAGGCGTCCCCTAAGATAATCGCACAATGCACTGCAATGTCAAGTTTTCCCCTCAACCTCGGAATGGCTAATTTTGGATACGGGTGTTGGTTAGGTTGCAGTGGTGCAAAATTGGATGTCAATACCAAACTCGTGAAGAAGGAGCTACTCTGTGGCATCCACCGTTAATTCCCATTATGGTGATGATGATGATGATGATGATGATGATAATAATGATGATGATGATGATTAATATTATTATAATTTATTTCACTTAAAGTAAATGGTGGTTTTACTTCGTGGACTGATTGGTCAGAGTGTTCAGAAACTTGTGGGAAAGACTCTGTCAGAATGCGCATGCGTGTGTGCACCAACCCCCCACCGGATAATGGCGGAAAAGACTGTCAGGGCTGGCGATTCGAAGTCAAATACTGCAAATTGCCAAGTTGTAAAGGTTCGTAATATTGATAACTTCCTGTGTAGCACAATGCATTAAGGATAACTTTACTGTCTTTCATATTTCCTTTAGAACAACAGGGAAAAGTATCGGAAAGTAAGACGAAGACAGGTTTAAAAAGCCAAAGAAAAGAAATATCAAGAGAAGAAATTCAGCAGCCTCATTCAACTAATGCTTCGCTCGGCCAGGAAGGTACTAACAAAACAGCAAAAAACCTGAAGCAGCAAAGATCTCAAACAAATCGAATTATTGAGGCAATGTTTAAAGATGTTATTCATAAAGCGTTCGTTATTTCAAAAGATTTAAAAGTAAATACTACGAAGGAAAACACCACTGAAACCAAAAGCGCACCAATAGAGATCCATACTGATTCTGGTCTAATTGCAAGTGAAAATGAAGTTGATACAATAGATGATGCACCAGATACATCAGATAGCATGGAGTCAGAGGGACAGGAAAATATGGAGTCAGAGGGTCAAACAAATCCATCACCTCAAGATATGGAGTCACAAAATCAAGACATTCAGTCATCACAAGAAATGGAATACGAGGGAGAAAAGAATCCAACAAACATGGAGTCTGTGGGTGAAGTAAATCCATCACCACAAGACATGGAGTTCAAGGGTCAAGAAAATCAGCAAACTTCTCAAGATGCGCCGTCACAAGCCCGAGAAAATTCATCAGCGCAACAAATGGAGTTTGAGGAAGATTCCAAAAGCTTACAGAAAGAGGAGACTTCTCAGGAAAGTGACTCAACTCAAAGCACCAATGTCAAACAGTCTGAGGAAAGTCAATCATCCCAACACACCAATGTCAAACA